TGTCGCGGACGCCACAAAATGTCGTTAATAAGTGAAAATAAATAATGCGGACGCCTTTTAAATAAAATCAATCAAATGAACTACAAGTTCTACAGATGAATGACAACAATTATAAAACTTTAATCTTTTAATAACAAATAATTTAGCATCAAAAACGGATTCTAAAAATTATAATTCTAAATTACAACAAAAAAGAACAACAACAAAAACTATCTCTGGTTGCCACGCAACCTAAAGTGAAATATTAAAACAAATAAATCTGATGAAAATTAAAGGTGGCGCTTCGGTCAAATATACATACGCTAATGACTTAAAATCTTAAACATACCCAATTATATAATTTTCAAAGAGTGATTGATTTTAAGGTCTAGTCCACCTGAATATTTGGTTTTCAAAACTTGCATAAGCATGTTTGGTGTTGAACTTTTTCTCATTGTTTACAAATGATTTCAAACATTCGCAGAATTAATTTTTTGATAAACTGAAAAGGATTTAACAAAATAAAGAGCAAGGTTTTAAAAAATGATGGTAAGTAAAATGTATCCAGTTAGTACAATTGCGTAAATTTTATCCAAAAAAAAATAACTCTAACCACTTATCTACATGAAGAAGTAATTGAGTCAGTTATTTATTACAGTCGTGGATTAAATGCATTAATGTAAGAAATTGACATGCATTTCAACCTTATATGCACATTTTTTGTTTCGTTCATTAAATATGTCATTAAAAATTATTATAATTGTTTTGCAAAAAAAAGTCTATAAGTTCGAAATTAAAGCTTAAGATTTTTGTGATAGAGCCTTGCGTTACAAAGGTAAGGAAAGTTTATCAGGAATTAGGTGTTGCAACTCTGGTGCAAATTTTGGTACAATAATTTCTTTTTCTTTAAAATTTGAGAGTGTCTATATTTAGTGAACCCCTTAAAATATCGCCAATATGGGCATCGTGATTAGCGATGTTGCATCATATGTGGTAACCAGAGAATTATGTTTTTAATGCACATTTTTGCTATGTTATGTTGCGGTAAAAGTTTAGAATAGATTTGTCTCCTTATTTAAGCAACTTTCTTATGTAAATAGGAAAAATAAACTAAAAATGAGAAAAACTTAAAGATTTGAAATTGTTATAAAAATAATCGGAAAATTGAATATTGCATTTATATTATATGCTTCATGCTAAAGTGACCAATCCAAAGGCACCTTATTCTACACTCTAACCTATGTTTTTATATTATCCATATATTTGTTATGCTTGGTTATGTTTTTATGTCATGTCTTATTTTTGTTATGTTTTCATATTAAATCATGATTTTTTATGCTTTAGTTATTTGTATTGTATTACGTTTTTGGCACCATTTTACTTAATGCACCTAAATACTAATGCTATCTATTCGCCAAGGGACGTTTTGAAACAGTATATTTCTCCCAAAATTTTTTATAAAAAACACACTAAGAAAGAATGCAAGTGAATTTAAAGTTGTTTAGTGAAAGCAAACGATAATTAAATTTACCAAGATCGCTATACAACAGTTAAATTTTGCCAATTAGAATACGCATGTGGGGTCAGATCTCAAAAATATTTTTTTTAATTAAATTAAGGCTTACAGAAGACTGTAACAATGAGGATTTCTGGCTAGAAAATAAAAAAAAAGTATAGGCGAAAAATAAAATATATTTTTATTTTGGCGCTTTGTAGAATGAAAAGTATTAGAATAAAATTGACTCACCGAGCCTGCTTCTTACATTTTCAAATCAACTTAGTCGCTAACCGATATCAGATCCAAAATTGAAATTCCAGAATGACTTTTCTTTGTCTTAGAATTTTAGGAAGTTGGAATTCTTCAGTAGTTTTTACCTAGAAAGATTGATATGGTTGCATTTTATTCCATAAAATTTAACGTATAATTAATATTTTATTTTAAAAATATTTAGTTAGCCATCACAAAGCTGGATAAAAATGATTTATAACAAATTTGTTCGAGAAAATTTCGATAAGAAATTTTCTAGTTGAAAATTGCGATTTTTAATAATAATTCCTAACTTCTTAATAATTCTTAACTTGTGTACGGTTGAGGCAAAAACAGTATTGCGCCAAAAATTAATAAATAAATAAAACAAAAATTAAAGCTGCACTTGAAACGGAAATTTCTTCTACGATTGCTTATTAATAACTATACCTTTGACTTGACTTGATTCCGAGTTCATATTCACCGTAAAATCATGGTATGTGTATTCAAATCTGTTGCAGTCAGAACTTGCATTATTTTTTCAGTAGAAATTCATAAAAATCTTTATAGTTAGTGAGACAAGTATTTTTTTTCTATCATTTGAGGGGTAACACTACATATATACATTTATTTCATTTTATCATAAAGTTCTGTTTATTTTAAACTCCGATTAAATTATATTTTGCGAATTTTTTATTTAATAAAATGGATGTTTTGTTTTAATTTTAAGTGCTTACATTTGAAAAATATTGTATAACATTTTCAAATTTTTAGAAACTAATGAACTGGTTTTCTGAAATTTAGAATGGATAAATTGACTGATGATTTAATGAAATATTTGATTCTTTCTACAATCATAATTTGTTTTATGAAATAATACGGTCTAGATTTTATCAAAAATTGTATTCCTTTCCTATATAACTTTTGCAAAAAAAAAAGTCAAATTTAAATTTTTTTAAAATTTTTTTGTTTTATCACGAGCTATATTTACCTATTACTAGAATTCAGGATTCTTTCCTTGTTTGTGGTAAGCTCACCCAGCTTCTGATCGTTCTACCGATGCGAATGCGTTCTTACTGATCGAAACCGATGTGCAACACTGACAGCTTTCCCACTGCATTTGGTCTCAGTGTTCTGTTTATTTAACCAACATATAGTTTGTTTAAAATAAGAACTCCCCTAGCCATTCGTCTGAACCCATGGTGGTGACTATAGTAACAAGGTATAACTATTTCAAGTAGGGGTGTAGGGACTTTGTTTGGGACTGATTTTAGCTCGGGCTACGAGAAAAGCGGAATCTATATTCTCTGTCTATTGTGTTAGCCCTAGAATGAAGAAAAACTACCTTCCCTGAAATGCGCTATTCTTGTTTCCATAGCAACAGACAGCCTCAGACTTTGTGGCGGGGGGACTTCTTACCGTAGACAAACTACATACACATTCTTCTTCACTCCGAATTGGAGCATAAGGCTTCTATCATAGCTTTTTATCTCACTCTATTTGAGGCCACATTTAACATTAATGACCCATTATTCTAAAAACTGTAGGAATGCTAATTTAATAATAACAGTCAAGAGCTATCTGTTCAATGGATTTTTTCGTTGGAATCTCAAAAAACCTTGTCTCAACATATGTAATTTCAAAATATTTCGATTAAAATTCATAAAAGGAAACGTATTTTTCAAATGCCGTTCTTACATGAGCTTGAAATGTCATTTTTTTTTTGCTTGAAAAAATTATTAGATAAAGTCAATATCCAAAGGCAGTATAACCTATTAAAAGACATTGAATAGCGCTATATTAGAAATTTAAAATATCATACATTAATCTAACGTATGCATTTTTTACTTTCAGCTTACAAAGGTATCAAGGCTCAAATGAAACAGCTATTAAAAAGAATGGCGTTCTCTTATATGCTCTTTTTAATTGTTTGTGCGTTCTCTAAGTCTTTTGCATATTCGGAAAAAAATAGTTATAATTATGATTATGATGAAATTTATAAAGATTATCCAGGTATTTTTTTACCTCAGTTTATTCTTTTCATTTAAGTTTCATGTGTATATCATATTTCTACTCTTTGAATGTGGTGACTTGTGTTTTTCTTAGTGAGGTAATCTCAAAAGCTCTCACTCTTAATTTTAAGACAAAATTTTATATTGTGATATTTAGTTAGCAATTTTCCATAATCATTAAAGTATTTAACTGGAATCGAACAGTTTTTTTTTAAAACAGCCTAAATTTTAATTTTATAGGCTCAAAAATTAATAAAAATGTAAAAAATAATTGTTTAAGATAAAACCAAATTTGAGCATAAAATCTAGTTGTTGTTTTCTTACGTTATGTTAGCATCTCTACATAAATAGCAAAATATTTTTTTTCTGGATCAAAAATAGGATTGCCTGCTGTTTGAAATGAAATATATAAAATACATTTTGAATATACAATGAAATAAAACTAAATAGATTGTTCAATATTAATTTTTTAAAAGAAAAATTCTGAACATTCTTACTTAGCGTGATAAAAATAATAAATTTACATTTGACCTTAGATTTCAGTTCAAACTATTGCTGACGTTATACAAAATCTTTATACGAAGTTTCAAAGAGTTCTACAATAAACTTTTTGTTTAATGAGTGTTAGCCTTAAGATATATTATTAAAATTACAGTTTTTTTCAGAAAATGGATCTAAAATATGTAAATATAAAGCACTATTTTACATGAATAAAATAATTAATTATTGATTATAACACTCAGTTTCGAATTAAAGAGATTTAGAAAGATAACTGATCGTAATTTCAATTATAGAGTATTTAAAAAAAATATTCCTTCGAAATTACCGATTTTCCCCAAGTCGGACACCTTAATATGCAAACTATTACAATTTTTTTTAAAAATTTTAATAATTTTTTAGTAACATTTGTTTAATCTTCAAACAGGTTTAACTTTGATTTTGTTAAATCCAAGGATTGCAAGCGGTTAATTATGATTATGCTTGAGTCAACACTTGATTTTAGTCCCTAAATAACATACAGTGCGCAGAAAAACAATATATAAATATATAAAATGCTTTAATAACTTTTGATCTAATTATATTGCATTTCATGTTTTAAAATGCTATCTTGATGATTAAAGTGAAACTTTTTCATCTATTTAATAATTTATATTAAATATGCATTTAGAAAATAAAATTCTGATTGATGTATTTTAAGCAGAATGATCAAACTAGATACAGTAAGATAGTTCAGTAAGTAGTATTTGCAATTCATGAATTGAATATTATTATCTTCTGCAACGTTTTGATCCTTTCTGTTGAAGTTTGTTTATTTAAGAGGAAAAAGAAAAATAGAATTATGATATCACTTGTTAACTATGAGCGTGATTGTTTGAAAAGACGGTGAAAAGATCGTTGACGTTTCAAAACTTGGACTAATTTGTTGTGGAACTCATTGAATAAAGCATTCTCGCTCTAATTTCCATGAATACTTTTTTCTGAAGTTTATACTGCTAAATGCATTTTAATGTTCCTTTAAATAAGCTACTATTTCTTAAATTATGCCATTGTAGAAAAAAAAATTCTTCGTATTTTTCTTGCTTTTTGGTTTATCCGTCGACTAATTCTAAAATAAAATCATACTTACACGAAGTACTGATGTGCGCGCTGTTTTTAAGCAAAAATATAGTACAGAAATACAGTATCAAAAATTCCTCCAAGGAGACGAGTTTGTCCCGAGGATTGACCAATAGTACCCTTGTCTTTTGGGTATGGTCCAAAATTACAAGGCTTCGGATTTGGACATTGGCAGTCATAAACTCAAACATGGATCAGTTGTTCAACTCCGGTTATAAAATAAATATTGTAAAATAAAATAAAACAATAATATAGTAAATTGTAAATAAGACATTTATACACGTGGTTATTGCTAGACGATATCCATGTGAGATTGTGGTCAATGATATGTTTTCTGCTAAAGATTAGTAACTTGTGGTTTTTTATCCATGAGACATTCTGTTTCATGGTATTCTACAACATAATATTCTGTTTTACCGTATTTTTGTTGGGGTGATATTAAGACAATCGATATTTTGAGATGCGTTTTGTTTTTTTCCATCTTTTTTATGTTTTTGTTTTAGCATTATAAGTTTGGCTATAAGTTTTACTAATATACTCTTAAAAATTAGAAATAATTAAATGCTTTTTGATTATCTATTTGCCATTGTTGCTCAATCGAATTCCTGAAGTAATAGGAAATTTACTATACCAAACCACTGATAATTAATAAACTGAGATTTAAAAGATACTTTTATTTTTTAGAATTAAATAATGAATTGATATTAAAGAGAGGTTTGTCAAGGTACCCAAACGTTAATAAGAAATTTGCAATCCAAAGGAGCATAGATAGATTTGGACCACCATTCCAAGAATATCCTCCAACTAAGTACGGTAATGATCAGAGGATCAATAATTTCCAAAATCAAAGAACTTTTCCCAATAAAAAATACTATAATAATCGTATGCCAAATCCTGCGTATCGTGATCAAATATACGGTAATCAATTTCGAATGCGTGATCAAACTGAAAATTTCCCACCCGGTAAAGGAGATTTTCCGTCTGAAAAGGAAAATTTTCCTCCTGAAAATGAAAATTTTTCACCTGAAAATGAAAGTTTTCCACCCGGTAAAAGAAATTTTCCTCCAGAAAACGAAAATTTCCCACCTGAAAATGAAAATTTTCCTCGCGAAAACGAAAGCTTTCTTCCTGAAAATGTTCCTCCTGAAAATGATAATTTCCCTCGTGAAAACGAAAATTACCTTCCTGAAATTGAAAATTTCCCTCCCAAAAACGAAAACTTCTCTCTGGAGGATGAAAACTTCTCTCCTGAAAACCAAACTGAAACAGATCCAGCCCTGCCTGAAACTGAAGTGCTAATTAAAACTTCTGCTGCAACGACAGCATCTTCTGTTACTACTAAGTCAGCTAAAAGAGCTGCAGATAATTCAAAACTTTCTAAACGTCAACGTTCCACGAACGTCAGAAATATCGAATTCAAAAGACCAGATAGTTTGGGTAAGTGGTTCGATAAGGAGATGTCCGATGTTGAGCCCGAACGATACGGGAATACCGATAAACCTAAAGCTGTGGAAAGCCGCGAAACAAAGTCGGTGAAAAAATCATCACGTAATAGTAAAAAAAAATCACAAGAAACAGATGATCAAAGCCAGGATGATCCCATAAAAATGTGGGAAAACACACGCAGATATTCACACCTGAAAAGATTCGCTCCACATCCTAATTCTGAAATTTCACCGATGAATACATATAGGCAGAAAAATATGAATGATATAGGTTACAAAAGAAATGTTGATATAGGAGCCGATAATGTACCAATGGATTATCCAGATTTAAATGAAATCCCGGGAGCTTTAGACTCGCTTGGGTCAAATGAGGATGACTATGGTTTATTGCCGAATTCTCAACAAGAGTCTGTCCCTCAGAATACATTTGGTAATGAAAGACAATTCCGTAATAACCATCAGAATTCCAGACCTGCACTCAGAGAGGCTCCAGCAAACCAATTTCAAACTTTGTCTAATGTAGCGGACACCGCTCCGAAAAATATAGTAGTCACAGTAGTAGCACCGTTGCAAGAAAGCAACAAAGAGAAATCTAACCTGATAGATAAAACTAATGAAGTGCTCTCAAAAGAAGTTTTAAGATCACCAAACGTGGAAGAGAAAATGCAGAGAGTGGTGGAAAATTTCAGAACTAAGAAAACTCTTGTTAACGATAAGAGGTTGCAGCAAGAGACTAGCGTTATCGAAAACGAACAGCAGAAAGTCAACGATAATGTCCATGTTAAAACTGAAGATAAATCTCAAAATAAAACTGAAACTGCAACCGAAACGACTACAACTTACACCACTTTGCCACAAGATCAGTATGACAAACATTTCTTACCACCCGATCATGAGTTGCATAACAAAAACTTCTTGCCTGATGAAAATTTCTTACCACCTGGTCAAGAGCTGCCAAATCCAGACTATGATACACCACCAGGAAACATTGCCCCTCATGAATCTCCATATGGTAGAATGAGACATATTCAAATAGATGAAGGAATACCACAGACAGATGATGAGAACACAGACACACAGAGTAAGTATGACCCGAAACCGATTAGTTTTAAAGATGGAGAAATGGTCGTAATAACAACTGCCTCACCAAATGCAGCGCCAGTGATCCAAAGCTCTGAAGTGGATGATCAGTCTGCAACTGTGAGTGATGGCACTGGAATCGGTGGAAGTAACGAGTCCACAACTGACCTATTCAACGTAAGTATGCCAGACATATACCTCAAAGAAGAGAAGGTGGAGAAACAATCGAAAACGTTACTCAGGAGCAAAGAGGCTTACAGAAATAAGACGGCTGTCGTTAAGGGGCAGCGAAAATCGGAAATTAAGAACAACAAAGAAAGCTTCCATGAGGTTTTCGTTGAAGAGAAGGGAGAGGACAAGTATCCAAGCCGCGTTGAGGACGTTGGAAAAGACGAGAAAAAATCGGCTGGTTTTCAAAACAGAAAAACATTTTCTGATCACATGCAAAGTCAAAACGGCAAAACACGAGATCAGTACCCAGATAGTGGACCTCGAGGATCTCCGAGAGAAAGGCAAAATAATCCCGATGATTACAGCAGCGATTACCAAGGAGGAGAAAATACGAATAGAGATAAAGTTTCTGACTACAGTTACCAAGATGATCCAAGTTATGGAGATGTGAAGAGAGGAGACAGGTTCATAGATAATACTGCTCGAAAAAGTGATCCTAGGTTGCAGAGAGAATCAATAAATGAGAACATGGTGAATTCTGGTAAGTTAATTATATATATTTATTGAGTAAGAAAGGTGGACCCTAAAAAGGTACGGGTTTTGTCCAAAGACGCAGGAAATTTTAGAGCTGTGTTTATACAAACATAGTAATTGGTTATATTAGGGCATCATAGTAGCTCAATTTAAGGAAATCGGCATCACAAAAACCAAAAAATGATTTCAAAGCGTATGAGCACCAAAAATCATATTGACTGGGGAGATGCAACTTTAGAAATTCATACGCAGGAATTCAAATAACATTATTATATATCCGTTATGTTCTTATCAATAATTAGAACTCATACCGTTCCATGAAAGTCACGATTTATTAACATAATCCTATAATCAAAAAAATACAAGAATCTTGACACGCATCTCGAAGCAAGATGAGAGATTTAGCTAACAGCTTACTTGGAGAGATCAGATTAAGGGATTAAAATGGAAGTTAAAGTAAAAGTGCTTAACCTTTCGCTTATGGCTGGTACAATAAGTTTACCAGAATGAATTCATCATAATAACCGCCGAGATAGGGGGAAAGAATGTGTGATCATTCACACTTTATAAGATAATTTTTAGTTCTTTTTTTTTTCTTTAACATCAGCTGATAGGAATTAATCTTTCATTTCGTTATAAAGATTTAGCTGTGGAATAGCAAGTAGGATTTTATGTAAGTTTCAGACTAAAAGTTTATTAAAATGCAGACGTTTTCAAATGCTAGTATCTCATATTTCTATGCATGATACACGTGTAACTTTATTTTCAAATGTTTTGACGTCCTGCCAAAAGTTTCTGGTGTGGTCATATACTTACCATTCCTGGTTTAGATTTATCTTTTTTTCATTAAAAATCGTAAGACCAGCCGCCGCTGTTTCATATGTTCAACTTAACGTTGAATTTTGTTTTACTGCGCAAAAAACTATAAGACTAGGAAATTTGAAATTGCAAAGGTGTGAAGAAAAATGTATGAGGGGTACAATGCAATAAAAAAATAACATTCGATAATTAGTTCGAGAACTCTTAGCTGTTAAGCTTGTGGAAAAAAATACAAGAGGGATTGTTCCACAGGCCACAGAAATGCAACCATAGACTTGCAATTTAAAATGCTAAAATGGCCATATTTAATCATGAATTTAATTTTTTCCTCGAAATTCCAATTTATTTGAAAGTTATTATAATTTTAGGTGCTTTTTGTGAGTTTTTTCTCTTCCTCTTTCGTTACGTTATATTTTGCTTTCCTGTACAAAATCTACCATGCCTAGAAACTTAGAACTACGAAGAATCGTATTAAAAAAGCACAGAGTAGGGTGAAATAAAAATTTAAGATTTTTCAATCAGTAAGATTTAAAACCTGTTAAATTTGTAGGGAAAAAATACCATGTTTGGTCTATCTGTAGTTCGCTGAATTGCAACTAACATGTTGAACGAGCTATTTTAATTTGTGAACTTAACAAAAATTTTGTTTCGAAATTCCGATGCGTTCAAAAGTTATTGCAAATTTAAGAGCTTTTTCGTGATTTTCTGCCTTCTTTGCTTTAAATAATGACTTTTGTATCCATAGTAGAAAAAAAAAATTCCCCTCGTTATTTTGTAAGCTCGCGCTTGGGTAGATGTCAATCAAAAGTATTAAAAAAAACGAGAGATTTCATATTAATGGATATAAATCTAAATATTTATCATAAAATGTTTAAAAAAAATGAAGAAAAAAGCAACTTAACATACAACGATAAAAACTATTCCCAATTTGAATTGGTATGCCTCGTCAACGATTCAAATTACTTCTCATTTATTTCTTCTATTTGAGTTTTTTAACGAAATAAAATCACATAAAATAGTTTTTTATTTGCATTTTAATGTGTTAGTAATGAAAAGCAAATACCACCAAAAATAAAGGAACACGTATGATGTTTGTACAGACACAGTGCGGGTAAACTAATCATGTTTACTAATTAGTAAACATGTTGCAACCAATCATGTTTACTGCGAGATGAATGACGCGAAAGAAAATATGATAGTAAAAATAAAATAAAGCCGTTTATTTCCGATAGTTTGAGAAAAGGTTTTAGTTTTAATGAGATGTTCAAGTTTTAGAAATGTTAGTTATGATCCCTGGTTATGACATATTAGTTGTTTGATGTTAGAAGTTTATTTTGCTCTAAACAAAAAGTTATTTTCGTTCTCACAAGTAAAACATAGCTCTTATAAAAATGACGTTCAGTAGAAATCATTTAAATTATAATAAATCTTTATAATAAATTTGTATATTGAAATATATCTTTAAATTCAAACAGATAAATGTGAAAGATTTAAAATCCTAATTATGGAATTTGTTTCAAAAAGTAATATAAGTAATATTTTTATTTTGATATTCATGCTGATAATTTTTTTAAAATTCCAATGAAATCTTCAACAAATGCCTTAGAGCTAAAATGGTTTAGAGATTTTTTTAATGTGTAAATTTTAAAATATCTAAGGATTCAATTTAGAATTGGATTTTCTTTCCAAAAAATTTAGTGTTTTTTAAAATTTGTAAAATGTTTTATTTTAAGAAAAAATGCATTGATATACGAATTTAAAATCTCATAGCCTTGTAAATTTTTACTGGAAGTTGAGCTTTCAAAACAACTATTTGAAAAAGACAGGCTGGAAGTATAGTGCGGCTTTCAGGAGAACTCCTTCAGACACCCGTCTCCGTCGTTGCGGATACTATGGTTACGAGGAAAGGTCACTTCGAATAGGGGTGTGGGGTGAATGGTTTTGTCTTAATCTTAGCGTAAGTCGTCGTGAGTAAACCAATCGACACCTTCCTTCCTCCATTTCACCCCCATTAGAAATGTGCTCGCGATTGTTACCATAGCGGCAGACAGCCCCAGACTTTCAGTCTGGAAGAGTTTTCCTTAAAGCAGCACTAAAACTTCTTTTGTCTCACAAAAGAAATTTTTTTTGTTGCACATAAATACATTACCGGCTTCCTAAACAACATTATAATACTCAATAAGCACAAGTATATTTCAATGGAAATTTAGTAAAACATAAGTCTTTATCGTTTTCAGAAAGATAAAAAAAATCAATCCATTTTTCAGATGAAGATGATTCAAATGAAATTAATGTCCAAAGTAATATTCAAAGTCGTGCTGCTGGCAACGTCGTATATTTTCCACCCACAACAACTACCCCTCAGTATAATGGTAGGCTTTCTCATTTTAATTTATTTTTTGGTGAGATTTATAGCATATGATCTACATGTAAGTAATTATGTAAGGAGATATTTCGTAAAGATATATTATTTACAGGGTAAACTGAATCAAGTTAAAAGTTTTTAAAATGTAGGTTTCAATAGTCTGATACGTTCCTGTAAAAAAAAATTATTGATCAAACATTTGTCAACTAATTAAAGAAGTCATTGTCTCTTCGCGATTTGCTGCATGATCTTGTAAGAGTACTAATTATAAAAAAAATGACAAAATTGTACATTTTATTATGTTTTCTTTTCCGACATGAAAATTAAATAGGCAGTTTTTGTAACAAAAGAGTTACAAAAGAATTATAGAAGAGTTAGTAACAAAATTACAATAAGGCATTTAGTAGGGAAGTTTTGACAATTAGGTTAAGTAATGTTAGTTTGCTTAATTAATTAAGTTAGAAGACAAAATTATTAAACATGCAGTATAAATATCTATTATGCACTGTATTTATAAATGTTTTAATTCCTTTTGACTGACTTTATTCAAAGAGTTTATTTACTATAACTTATTTATATTTAAAGAGTGAACACTCACTTTTTAAATTAAAATAAGTTATGTTTATTATGTTATGTAAGTTATGTTAAAATACACATAATAACTTCGATTCAGAACAGTAACTTAGGAATAATAAATTTTATTTTGTATAAGAACTTCAGAATGATTACTTCTATTTAGAATAGTAACTTCTGAATGATAATTTTAATTCTGAGCAGATACTATTTCAGAATAGTGATAAGCCAGTGGGAGAAATCCTCCAGCATGACAGCAGGCTCTGCGGATTATCAGAGAATCTGCAGATTATTTTTTTATCTCCGAATTTAAAAAACAATTGTAGCATTTGAAGATTATTTTCCTCCCCTTACCGAGATTCAAAAAACAAACCTGAAAATTAGAGAGAGGAAAAACAGAAAAATCATTTTTAATTCCTAAATTTACTGAATTATTATTTACTAGGAGGCTTTACCCCCTGCTCGCTGGAGCTCGCCAACCCCCGGAACTGCTTTCACAGTTCATTTCCGATTGCTTCGCAATCCAGTGCTCGCTTTGCTCGCTCATTGGATACGTTCTTAACGTCTAGCTTTTGTATACTTTTTTGAATACTGAAGTTCCGAAAACTTTTCACTGTAGAAAATTCTAAACCTGTACATTTCAATATTAATTTGAAATTGCAAACAGTTCACATATTTTTCTTAATCACACTATTCTAAATTTCAGTTGTTGAGAAAAGTAACTGTTGTAAGTTTTGTTTTAAAGTCTTTCCCACCAGAGGGCTAAAGCCATGTGTTGTAAAACAATATGAAATAGTAGTCTGCCACTGAACGCCGGATGTAAAGCATCGGCTTTGATGAAGATAATTTTGTATTTTTAATTCTCTGAAGGGCGCCACCTTAATAATATGGAATTTGTAAAATAAATGTATATATTTTTGATTGTTGATGAAGCCCATCATTTTGTGTTTTCATCAGTGTTCAGAAGCAGAACAACTATAAGTTTTTTATTTTATCACAAAAAAATAAAATGTATAAAAAACAAAGAAAAGAGTAAGAAAATGAGTATAGTCATAGAAAAAGTTAAAATTATAATATAGTATTTGTCAGTTAAAATAAAACTTTTTGTTTAAGTCATTGCTAACAATTCAAATTTCTCCGAGGCAATTCTAAAGTATAAATTAAGGTAGTATTGTTAAGTTGAAACACAATATTTTTAGTTTTGATGTCAACAATACAATTCAATTTTTCACAAAAACGATTGTTTCCATTGTTAAGTTCAATGTCAACAATTCAAATTTTTCTGAGGCAACTCTTAACCTCTAAATATTATTTTTTTTATGTACACATTTCTAAATGTCAGTATTCAACCACAAAACAACTTAAAGTCCTCAAATTTAGCATGAAGTTGTAAAATGTAATGAAAGAGGGTCATAGCAATAATGAAAGTAGAAGTAAAGTTAGTACTGTAAAATTAAAACAATATTTTTAATCAATGAGCCAAGTTCTTCAAGAAGCAGTTGTAGAAGTAGGTTGTTTATTTAAAACTTTTTATAGAATTTCTTTAAGAACACAATTGTTAATTTGGGCATTTGGCGATACAACACTTTTAGAATTGAAGGATTTGTTACGTCAAGCGCTCAGGTATCATAATTTTGATCTAGTTGCGCTTCTATGTCATTTTGATTTATGTTGCTAAGTTAACTTTCAAAAAATTCTATGGCTGGCAACAGCATTTTTATTTTTTAAGTTGTTTATTTTTATTTCTTTTAGAATTCGTTATTTTTTTAGCGAAATGTTTTTTAACCTAACAGAATTCTTTGCCGACTGTTTTCTCTATGAATGAAGAAAATAAAGTAAATATTTAACTGTTGTGAAAAGAATCTTATTTAGTTGTACAAAGTACTTCAGCCAAAATTTGGGAGCCACGTAAGAGAATTATATATATTAGATCAGAAACACATCATTAAAAGGCAGAATACTTTGGTGTTTTCAAAACGTAAACAAAACAAAGCGAACGTTGCCACCGGCGGAAAAGAAATACAGCCAAAATTTGGGAGCCACGTAAGAGAATTATATATAATAGATTTTAGCTAATTTAGCCAAACTTGTTTGCCAATCTGCAGATACACAACCAAACGAAAAGTGCTGCCGTTTCAAAATTTTAAAAATAAGTTACTATTATCAATTGGAATTTTTGAAAAATAAAAAATTTTAATGACAAAAAAGAATTAAAAAATTAATTCTTAGTACCAGAAAACTAGTTGTTTTTTTACGACTGTATTTGAACTAAATTTATTTTTTAACTTTAAATTTTACCATATAATTAAAATCACAAATTTTTTTTTAATTAAAATAACAAGTTTTTAATGACATTCTTGTGTATATATAATATTTCCATAACTTATATGCACTAATTTTGATGTACGCCTACCACATTGACCTAATTTTTGCTATAATTAGGCCTAATTTTAATGCCTAATTAGGCCTAATTTTAATTTTAGGCCTAATTGGCCTAATTTTGCAATAATTTGAAATTATGACGACTGTGCTGCAGATTGACTCTGGAAATTCTGCTACCAGGATGATAAGTAAATATTTGTGAATTAGTAATTCATCAGTTTGCCACTCTGTTAGAATATTTGCGGCATATTAAGTCACAATATCATTTAAAGTTTCAACAACCATATTAATGTGTCAAGTTACTGTGGTTCAATAGACTACAGGTCATTTGCTATCATTAACTATGGAACCTGTTTCTACGGTTCACCTTGAACGGAAGCACGGTTCTATTGAAGAGCTTATTAAGGTTGCAGCAAATTTTCTTTGTTATTATGGTTCAGTGTTAAAACAATTTTTCTGCGAGTTCATCATAAAACATATTTTTAAGAAATGATATTATTTTTTCTTGAAATTAAAGACATTAAAATTGTTTTAGATTTTCTGCACGTAAGGGAAGTGAAAAGTTCTTCAGTTCGGCGGCGACATCTTCATAACGAACGGCCTTGAACTGCTTTCGAATTCAAGAGATCGTTACATTTCCATTAAAAGCAAGAAAAAGAATGAGTTTCATTTTCTTCATACAAGAGCAATGAAAGAATCTGCAATATTTAGACTAGATAAGAATTTGTAGATGACTGATATTTCCTAAATAAGAACACTTATATAAGAGAAAATATTTGGCGCTGATTACCCTAGTAGAATCTATTTCAACCATTTTGTTTATCCCAGTTAATTATTTACTTTTCTCTTTCTGTAATTATTTGTGAATAAATCAACTTTGCAATTCTGCGATTATATACTTTATTTATTTTTAGATAATGTGATCTGTGAAAAAATTTACAACTCATTTAATATTTCTGTGTTCAATAAAACTAAAAGTTTTTTTAATGTAAAACAGAATAGATTTTTGTAGTCTTATTAAAACATCATGCTATATCATTTATTTTATTGAAATATTATGAAAAAATAAGCTGTTCTTTTAGTAAAACTTTCTGTTTATGTTGTCTATTAAGATTATCCATTGCTTTACTTTACCATTTGAATCTATGAACAGCTATAATAAAAATATCTTTTGCACTCATTCATAAGACAATAATCTGCACTCATTTATGAGCCTATACATTGCACCCATTATACAATTTATATTACACTGTAAAAAAATCTGTTAAATTTTTTAAAAGCGGAAGTTTGTTTTTTGAGCTAATAAGTACTGTCATTTTAAGAAACAAAAACAAATCTTGTTATTTTAACAACAAACTCTGTTATTTTAACAAAAATATCCCTCTTGAAACTAACAAAAAGAAAACTATGTCAACATTGCAGTCGGTACTAGCCGAGAATAGGATTCGCGTGGCCAGTTAACGCCGATATTCGAACGCGAGTCATCTTGGAGGTGAGTGCTCTGTACACTGAGCAACAGCAGCTCAAGTGTTTGGTTTTCAAGAAAAATCTTTAATTTTCTTTAAAATTCCTACTGATAGAAATCATATTTAAATGTAAAAATGTTTAAAACTCACTCTTATGAAAATGTCTCGCAATATGACTTGCCAAAAAATTGCATCAAAGCACAGATAATAATTAGGTAGAGTAGCAATTCGACAATGAAACTGAATCTTAATTCCTTAACGATCGGTTCATTTTAAAGAAAACGGTCATAAAAGTGACTATTTTTTCTATACACGTATTTGATTAGTGCTGACATCTAGTTTAAAAGAAACTGTCTATCTAGAATAACCTTAAAAATATCTTGGCACTGCCATCTGGTGTGTAAAATAAGAAATAAAATGATTTCCGGCAAAGGAAATTAATTAGTTTTATTCTTATTGGCGCGATACTACTCAACACTCTAGCCCGGGAATATCACGGGAGCGAGAAATAGAGGGCGACACCACACCCTGTCATTTCCACGGGAGCGAGAAAGAAATATTAATTTTACGATGTTCAAAACTATAAAATAATCTCTGAAAAGTAAAAGTACGTATAGAGAATAGTCGTAAAATGATTTGAAAAAATATAAAGTTATCTTAATGTAAGCAAAACTGCAGTGCAAAAACTAGAAATTGAATTGATAATTTTAATCTGTTAATGATTAGGGTGAAGAGCAGAATAAAAAGTGCTTTGCGAGAAACAGCTTTAAATCGCCAAATAAACGGATTAAAGTCAGAAAAAAACGAGAACTTTTTGCATTGTGCGGTTAATGAATAAAAAGAGAAAAAAAATCTGTATTTATCTTTAAACAGTTTTTTTTCTGTAGAATTTACAGTTACTTTTTTACAGCGTATTGTTTTCGATCTAAAAGTAGGCATTTTTAGAAAGCATTTAAATAACTGTTAAAATGTAATAATTTTAAGCTGTATAATTTTAAATAAATTATCAGAAATTGATTTTCTTAAACCAACACAGGTAATAAGAAATAAGTAATAGTTTGTGACCATGAAAAAATAATATATGGTATTATCATAAATTTATGGTATAATAATTATCTATATATAATTATATTTCTTAATAAATATGAAGCTTTGTTACTACCGAATATACCGGTGTAAGTTAACTTTTCAAGCTCCTAAATTATTACGAAAATCAGGGGGTAGACTTATAAACTGATAATAAAGTAAGTCGGACATTCGTTGATCATGAAATGTCGCTGTGTTATAAACGATGAGATGATACAATAGCTCTGTATCAATTAATCTATTTCAAAAACTGTTTTAAATTTGTTATAAATTAATTTTACATTTTGTGTCATCAGATTTTTAATTTACGTATAAAGTTTTTCCAGAGAAACAATACCTTAAATTATTTTCAGGTAAAAGAACATAGAATAAGAAATATTAAGAGGATTTATTCAAGAGTATTTCAAAAAACAAAACACAATGAATTTTTTTAAAAAAATGCCATAAAGCTACAAATTGAAATGTTCCAGATCAGCTGTGTTGGATTCAATAACGTTAGCAGTGTCGTCATACAGATCCCACTGTGCAATGGGTTCTACATCATATTCATCTGCTGCGTCCAACAAAATATCGTCTCCATCCTCATCCGAAAAATTCAAAAAATCCCACTTTTTTTTTAAAAAAATTACAGCAACATTTTAGTCCATATTTTGCAACGCTTCTAGTATAATTTGAAACATGGAATAAAAACAGCGCTGAAATTTCCTGTTGTTGTAAGCATAATTGATACGAAATATCTTAACTTCAGACAATTAAGTAGACTTTTTTATGTCTTATAATTGTTGAAATTATCATAAAAAAATTTTGACATTTGAAATATCATTTGGTTTCTTTTCAGCGGTTGACTTATACACTTGACCTACCAGAAATTCGTTTTCTTGTAATCAAAAATAGCGACTCATATAACTAGTCGGCTTATTCGACTTATAGTATTATATAATTTCTAAATTTTGGTAAATGGAGGAAACATTCACAACCTCAGGTTAGCGGAAGTTCAATCTGAACAGAAATATGGTTTATTTAAGTCTTTTAAAGTGTCAGATAATATCATTTGAAGTACTGATATTAGGATTCAACTTCAAATTTTTTTTTCTAAAATTATTAAGAAGTATGGAAATTTAATTATCCTTAAAAGCAATTTTTCTAAGCTTTTACTAGGTCTTTCGATAGGTTTTTTCAGGATAATAATATATTTTTACATTGCACACTGTTTAAACTTTCACTTAGAAATTACGGTAGAATGACAAGCAGCAATCTGTTTATCCGATTGACCACACAACTTATGGTTAGGAACATTTTTTTACCTTTACGGTTTTGAAGCCGTTAACAACTGGTGCAGTTAAAAAATTTTGCACGGCAACTAGCATAATTTCTAAATCATAAAAATAAAATTTAAACGGGCATAGGAGCTCTATGGGTGCCAAACCATTTATGCGTGAACGATAGTTTCGTATTCTGATAGTTAAGGGTCACTGATTGAAGAGTGCAGGAAGCTAGAAACTTTTCTTATACTGAAGGAATAGAAGAAACATTGTGGTATCTACGACGGGATTCGAACCCCCGTTCTGCCGAGCATGACATTGACCAATCAGCCCTCTCAGCTGCAGTAAGTACCGAACTGCGCGTAACAAAATGGCCTTATAAGGTTGGCCTTGTTGCAGCGGATAGAATTCTAGTTGTTAAATCGTATGAACAATCAATTAATCAATAAACATTAAAAAACGATCAATAAACAATCAATACAATTTTTTTCGCGCATTTAAAAGCTTATATATAATTTTTTTATGGTTATTTGACTGTTTTGGTTGAAAATGATAAAATAACAATTAAATAAATTGCTATTTAACAATTTTTACCAAGAAATTTTTAGAAGTGAAAAAATAACATTTATTTTGTAGGACTTCACAGACATTTTAGATTCTCTTTCGATTTGAGAAGTAGTTCACACCTAACTCGTAATCAAAAGATTTCTGTGAGTCAGGCATTAATCAAGAAAGAGTTTTCTTGTGTTTTGAAGAAAAACAATTTGAAGTTAGAGAGTAATATTTCCTTACACTGACAAAAGAACACTCGTATATTGAATCTGCAAATATTTTTTGTCGGTGTTGTTGTGTAGATTTATTCCTTACTGCTTTAAACTATTTCATGAAGAATTTTTTTCAATTTTAAATTTTTTCAATTGTGATGTGCTAAAACTTTTTATTCCTATAATAATTAAATATATTATAATTTAATTAGTGCCAGGTCAGTGCCAGAAAAAAAACTTTACATTTGTGGTTGTCTATGATCTTACCAAGATGACAACTCTCTGCATGTGTACCGTGCGCAAAAGGAGAAGAAAAAAAAACGAATTACTGAATAGTTAATTGATGTACTGATCGGATTTTATCTCGCTAGGGTCCAAACTAAATGGTTTGAGAGTCTAACATTAAATATAGAATTTAATTGTGCAGTCATTATGAAAAAGAAATTATAAAAAGTTTACGTAATTAGACACACAATTAAGTTAAAGAAACATTATGAAATTAAACAGAAAAGCACAATTTCATTAAAAAAAAATCTTAAATTTTTTTCAATGGATTTGGAATTTTGACCCTTACGAAATGGAGGGTATCCGCAATGTAAAACACATGATCCTAATTGTTTAGGCAGTAGAATGTTCACCGTCAAATTTTAGAATAAGTTCTAATAATTATTCCTTAATTTTTATTATTATTAAAAAGAATTAATAAAAAAATTTGAGTGGTAAAGCATCCAAATGTTGAAGTATGTAATTTGAAATTATAAAATACAAATTTTGTATGAAATCGATTGAGCAGCTTTCGAGATATCGAATATCAACTCAGAAACCATTCGCCTGATTTCAATTAAATTTTGTACTTTGTCATTTAAAATTAAATACTTTAAACTGGAATAAAAATGTGTGTACGTTACTCATCAAAATTTATAAGAATATTATTTTAAAAAAATAATAAATAATTACTAGCTGTTTATTCATATAATAATTTTTGGGAAAACAAATTTCATAATTGTATGGAAAAATTTGCAAAAAGTACAATTGAGACTAACGAAGTCTTAACTTCGGACTGCCCTAGAACAAATTATTAAGGCTACTTTTCAGGATTGCAGGAACAACATATTTTAATGGTCAAAAATTTAAATCCACCGAAAAAAAGGCATGTTCCTTTCGTTCGCAAAAGTTCGTTTTTGTACTTAAATTTGTAACATAAAATGTCGCATTTTTCGATTCAAATGGTTAAATTATTAGCATATTTAAGGTAAGATTTTTAGTCCATTAAGATTGAGTTTTAAGTTCGTCAAAATCCGATCATTCGA